TGCTAATGCTAGCCAAGATTCTATCCTTACAGGGTTGTGAAAACATGGAAAAAGGTAACATTGCCACCACGACGATGGCCGAAGGCCCAAGAGAAGTTAACTCTCTCGCGAAGTGTAATATAAGGCACAAAACGAGCCTTTGGTGGAATAAGGGGGCAATTGGAGTGTGCTATTAAAGAACATTGGTGGTTTAGAGAAAGCTTCCATGAATCACCACGGGATACGAAGGATTATACACTTCAGGTGGTTAATGCATTATGGAAGAACAATTCACATATGAACCTAATGAGTCAAACTCCATCTTTCCCTGGACTGCAAAGGCAGTTTAACGATAGTTAAGCTAGATAAATGAAAGGAACTACTCAGCAACCATGTTTACGACTTCAGAACCTTAAGTCACTGAGCCACAAGCAAGCACAAGCAGCGCAGAACTTGGCAGCACAGGATTTCAGAAGGAATCTTAAGACTGATATGCAAGTGAAACCTTCTGACAGTAACAAAAACTCATATTGAAATGGAACATTCCGAGAAAATGAGGACCATGAATGGTTTCAGCCTATCTACCCTGCACATAATCTTGGTACCAAATAGGTCAATATTCCATATTTCGAGAATTTCCAGCCTTTAAACAACAGCTTATATCTGTTAAGAATAACCAAAATCCCATCTCAAATTAGACTTAGGTAACATAATACTAATTCCAGTTTGGATTATTCAGATGCTTCCCGTGAATAGAAGAATATGATCCAACAATGGAAGAAAACTCCTTCAATTACGTGTTATTCTTTGTTGTGAATCCAATGATACAGTGGCTGAGAGTAGTCTCATTCTCTTAGCTCGGCTATAGACAACACCACTCATGTGGAGTTGCAAGGAAGAGGAGAAACGGATCTCTCCAGAACTCGTAAAGAACATGAGGCATCATTGAGCGGTGATTTGGTGATCCTTGTAACAAAAATCGTGAATTCACATATCCAGTAAGTGAAGAGTTATGTAGGAAACTAGGCAGACCATGGAGTTGGTTATGTGTTCCATCGAGGGAACATGAGGGGCATCATTCTCCTCTGGCATGGGGTAAATTATACCACAAAATTTCAAGCATAAATGGCTAGAATCTTTTAACTTTAAATATCATATTCAAACCATGTAAGAATCCAGAGCAGAAATATTTATGGAAATGTCTGAATGACTCAAAAGAATTTCAATAAACAAGTACTACAAAATGCGAACAAAACAATAAATTGCAGGAAACATAGTAAATTGCTGGAAATATATAAATAGTTGCTGTGAGGATGATAAACGAAAATAGTAAATTGCCACCCAAACCAAATTCCAGATTTACCTAGAACCAATTCGCAATTTGTTATCTGCAAGTTGCGTTCTGGGTAAACATAAGTGAATGCTTCCCATGAATAGAAGAATATGATCCAAACAAGGAAGAAAACTGAAGAAACAAATGAAAAAAAAAATGGAAAGAAACCAGAAAGCCAAGAACTTTAGTAGGTCAGCTCCATCTATATATATGCTATCCAGAATAAGAGAAATTTACCAGTTGTTCATAGGAAGGGCAAGATCTCCTATGACGATCAATGGGACCTCCATTCTCCTTCAAAACAGCATAACAGCTGCAGATTGCTAATGGGGAGTGCATGATCAAGGTTGAAGATAGTTTGCCCTATTTACAGGTGTCTTGGCAGGGACAAGTGAAGCCAATCAGAAATTTCTGTATATACATCAAATCAGTCAATATAGTTGAGAAATTTATTCAGAAACAGGCTTCATAAGTGAATGGTTACAGCTGTTTGCATATAATAAGATCAGAGCAGTTATGGTACATCATGTGGCATATTGATGAGAAAGATCAGTAGAGATTTATGCAGCAAAAAAAAAGAAAAAAGAAAGGAGGTAAAGAACATCAGAAAGAGCAGTCTGGTCACCTTTCGGAGTTTAAGAACGGTAGTCAAAATGGCAGCAGCACTGCCATTCTCGGTGCTGTAATTGGTTCAAAATCTTTTAAACATAAAATTGCAAAAAAGTTATCAAATAGATGGATATTACTTTTGTGTCTGGAAGGCCATTCATAACTGCAGGAAAATCAGAAGTTAGGCGCTCAGGACAGCAGGAAGCTAAGGGGACAGTCTCCAGGACATTTAACTGAAGGATGTAACTGCAGCAAGAGTAAACTGGCAAAATGATGGGAAATTAAATCAATGCAAAGAAATCATATTACACTGATCATGGCAGCAGATTCTTTTTCACATGGTTGAAAAGGCACGACGGAACGGTCTGCAAGGATTTTATAGACTAGATTTGGCGGAAAAGGCTACTAGACACCACAAATCGCTATACACAAATATGAGACTGGATGGAAAGATGAAATCTCCCAGTGGAGTTGGCTACATAGGGGAAGAGGGTGTGGATATTGTTAATTATCTTCATTGCTTGCAAGCATGCAATACCTGCTACTGAAAAGATAGAAACACTGATGACTATATTCACATCATAAGAGCCCATATTATGCAATAGGTCAAGTGGAGTCCATATAAGAGCATCTGGGATAGATCAAGCTGAAGGTGAACATTCCTCTCTTGTGATTAAGAAGTGCCTGATGCACATGTTGAGGCTGCTTCGATTAGTATGTGAAAGGGTAGATAAATCAGTTACAAGTTAACTTACTGGCCAAAGCTAAAGATTAAATTACAAGTTAACTTACTGGCCTACATTATTTGATAGACTTAAAATAATAAAAAGACAAAGCTAAAGATTAATGGTAACTACAGTATAGTTTTAATGTGATAAAAGCAATCACATAAGCATAAAAAAATACTAAAATTTTTGTATGAAAATTCATTCTAAAAATTCCTAATTTTACTCAAAAATTAAATTATAATATAAAATGTTTAAAAAATATTATAATTTATTCTTTTTATTTTATATTTTAATTGAGCCGAGATCAATCTTTCTCCACCTTTATCTTTTTATTGGACAATTCTAGAGTAGCATCCTCATCATCTACATCAGTTGTGATATCAAGTTGGAGTTGAATTTCTTAAAATTAATCTCTTCAAATAATGAAGTCCAACACCAAAATCAACCTATTTGTCTTCTTCTCCACCCTCAAAAACCATAACCCTAATCCATGAAATGGGTTTGTACATAATGAAGAACAAAAGACAATGTCAAGAAACAAAAAAGGAAAAAAAAAGAAGGAATTGAATAAGAATCGCTAGGTTTGTACATGATAAAGAGCAAAAGACAAGATAAGAGTCAAGAAATATATAAGGATATATTTGGATCAATTAAATTATATTATTACTCATAATTGATATGCATAAGAGACAAAATATGTTGACAATCTTAAACTATAAAACAGACTGTATAGGCCCTCTAACATAATTTTTTAATGCAAGCAACCCCCAAGATTAATTTTGAAAATCTCTTAGTTTTGTGAAAGAGTTTGGATGTAAAGAACAAATGTTAAATTATCTAATCCGATTAAAGTAGGATTAAGTTAACCCTATATATAAAATTTATTTTAACAAAAACTCATATATAAGTATATAATTGGCATTGAGATCAAAGATACGTGTGAGATTCTCTTTGACTTTTATACAAACATTATCTATTTAAATAATAATAGTATAATTAAACTTTGTGATTTGAAAAGAAATCAAACATACAATATAATTAATTACTTTAAAATAATCTAATCTAATCTAATAATAAGAACTGAAAAGAAATCAAACATACAATATAATTAATTACTTTAAAATAATCTAATCTAATCTAATAATAAGAAAATAGATGAAAGTACTGTCAAAATTGTTACAATTTTATAATTCATAATTCTTAAACAATCTAAACTATTCTAATAAGAAGAAAATAACAATGACATATACTTGTTGAAGGAGATAAAAGTATTGTGAAAATTATTGTAATTTCCTGATTTGAAAGAAAGATTAAATATACAATATAATTAATTACATTAAAATAATCTAATCTAATCTAATAACAAAAGCACATGTCTGTAGAAGGAGATAAAAGTGCTATAAAAATTATTGTAATTTCTTGTCTTATATATATTGGTATATGATGTTGCATGTGAGAGGATAAGTGGATAACAATTATAAATAGAGTTCTATTTAAATAATAATAGTATAATTAAAATTTAAAACTAACTATGCAGTATTTTAAACTACTTCAATTTTAGTCGGTGAGACATCGTCACTTTGTGTGTAATTATTAATCATATAGCATGTGAATAATTGTTTTCAGATTGGCATTATTAATCATGTAGCATGTGAATAGTTGTTTACAGTTTGATCATTGATCACATATAAGAGCGAGGGGGTAAATTTGGTATTTAATAAATCGTCTAATTAACCTAAGCGTATTGTGAACTACTTGAATTTTGGTCGTTGAGAGATCGCCTCGATGTGTGCAATTATTAATCATATAATATGTGAATAATTGTTCTCACTTTGGCATTATTAATCATGTAGCACATGAATAATTGTTTGCAATTTGATCATTGATCACATATAAGAGCGAGGGGGTAAATTTAGCATTTAATAAATCGTCTAATTTACTTAAGCTGCTCTTTTATTAAGGTTTACATTTTAATTTAAACTATATCCTTATCTTTATACTATGTATATCCAATAAGAATTCATCAATTTATCAACTTACTATTACTTAATGGATTAATATTTATATTCTAAGGGTATTTTTGTCTACTAAAAGATTTTCCCGAACTCGTGTTTTTAAATGGAGTATGATGATTAGCCAAATTTTAATTTCCATATCTTATTTGTTTGCACCTTGTTGGTTCCAAACCTACCATTCTGTCATTAATTTTATGAGGGAAATGATAAAATGCATTATGGAACACAATCGGCAGTCCTTTTGCAATAGGAACAGAAGACCCTGTAGGCAACACCCTGGAAGGCTGGAAATAGGAGTGGAAGGTGATTCTGATAACTGAACAACCCCTTTACAAAACAGATTAAATGACATTCATCATATTAGCCAAACTCTATGCCAATGGATGGATCCTATAAAAGATAAAACTTTTGAAATCTTTTCAAGTATGGAAGACATCTTCTGTTTAGTACCATGAGAGAAGTCAAGTTGGCATTTGTCTTGCAAAGTTCTTGATTGAGAGAAGTCTGTCTAAGCCCAAACAAATCTGTCAAGCCTTAAGGTTTTGATGAAATTTAATATTTCTAGATTAACAGTCCAAAAGTTTGAGAAAATGTTTCTGATTAAAAGAGTGACAGATGCATCTTAAACGCATATCATCTCTAGTCAGCATATATGAATCCTGACAAAATCTACTTATCCGGCTCCAACAACTGAACTAATATAACGTTGTTACTGAGCCAAGATATATAAACTAAGCAAGAGATGGCAACAACATCAAACTTAAAATGCCCACATGGTCATGAGCATTGTACCAGACTATGCTTCCATCAATTATATTAGAAACGTTATGTTGAACAAATAATGTTATTAAAAAGATGGATATTACCATTACATTTTTTCAATGGAATTTAGCAACAACTTGCCAACATTAAGAAGACACCACACGCATCACACAAAGAACAACAATTGTTACCGTTGAGTAATTTCTATGAAAAAATTTGAACTATTCAAAGGCAAACCTGTTGCTAAGTGAGTGATACCCTGAGTTGCAAAAGATTAATTTTCGCCAAAGGATCAATTGTATGCCTGCTCGAGTTTTCTCCTTAGTATTGGGGTTATCCCTCTAAAGACCTTTTGGTCCTATGCCTAGGGACCGGGGCGGATGAAAATATAAACATGCGGTGAAAATGGCAATTACATTCTACAGCCTCCTAAACTTGCAATTTGTTCCCTTAATTTTAAAGTATTTGCACCCAACTCTTACAAACATGCAAACCCATTTGGATTTTAGCCCATTTAAGTTAGAAAATTTAGCCCATTTATTAAGAACGTTGTTCTATATTATTATATTTTAATTTTTGGTAAAATAGATACTTGCCGTCCGCTCCCTAACTTCTCTAAATCCGCCACTGCCTAGGGGCTAGCATTCCGTAGTTTATAAAGCTAATTTCATTTGCTCTTTCAAAATCTTTGGAAGGAATAGTTGGATTTTGAACTACTTTCTAACCGAACGAAGGCGAGACTTGAAAGAAGATGTCAATACAATTGTCTGGCCTGATTTTTTGAACTTGGATTGGGATCGAGATGATAATAGTCACTAGATTTTAGGTTTTGCACGACAGCGAATAACCAATTGGAATCAACCACTGTCTCACATGGAATGATAATTCATAGGATCTGTTTACTTTCTTAATTAAATGGAATGATATTAGGATTTGAATCTCTACAATCCTATTATTTTTTTTCTCAAAAAATAAAAATAAAAATAAAAATAAAAAATGAGCAACAACAACAACAACAACAACAACAACAACAAAAGCAACTGAAATTAACGATAAATAAATAAATAAATAAAAGGAGGAGGAAAAAAATCATACCAGGTTCCTTTTTCTTGATCGAATCATCTTCGCTTTTTGTGTCCCCCCGCAAATTCACTAATAAATAAATAAAATGAGGAGAAAGTTAGAGAGAGAGAGAGGGAGGGAGGGAGGGAGCATTATTTGCTTCCAAAACGGTGGAAGATCGGTGGGAGGAGGAAACGGAAGCGGCAGCACACA